TCTAAGTAACCCCATTTTACTTCATATCAATTTCCATTTCTATAACAACCATTGAATTACAAATCCATAAACTTATTGAACAGACGTATAAATAGGTACAATGATGAAAATTTCTTTTGAAAAAAAGCAAAAAGATGCATGCAACCCACGTTTAGCTAATAAATTTAAACTACATAAACTTATAAAGAAACTAAAAATAAACTACTTCCGTATTATAGTTGTATTTTCATATAATACAACCATATTTTTTATTAAAATTTTTTATGTTGCCCAAGCCTGTATTAAATTCAAAGAGAAGCGCCAAAGAAAACCTGCAGCCAGTCAGTCAGCCACTAACATCAATTACTTGTAAAGAACGTACAACACACAGGATTAAAACACCAAGAGCAAAACAACAACTGCAACACATATTAATAAACTAAATATGCATGTGTATTTTACACACGCTAGACCGCTAACATAAACACTTACAAACCCCCTAAACCATAAAGAAGGCACAAACACATAAAGGAAATAGGGAGAGAAACTATGAAGAGAGAGAGAGAGAAAGAATTCAAAGAAAACCCGTGTTTGCCACAGGTTATTATTTCAACATTTGCGGTTTCAAAGTAGTGGTAAAGATGTTGGGGAAATAGGGAGGGGTAATGTTGCTAGAAAATTTTTCTTTTTTAGCTTAAAGCTTATAGGCAAACTTGCTTTTATAAACAACTTGTATTAGAGGTTTTAGAGCAGCAACCAGCTCTATCTCTCTCAACCAAGTTTATCCTTGTTTACATCCTTGGTTTATTCGTTTTTTTTTTCTTTCACAAAACACATTTCAAGCGGCAAACATTATCCACGTTGTCGACATTTAGAACACGTTTTATGTGCTGCAAGTTTTAAATTTACCTTTTTGCCTTATATCCATAGTACACGAGTATTTTGGCTGCACACGTTAAATAGATAAATATTTGCCACATTAAGAATGTTAGTTTATTAATGTATGTGTGTATGAGTGTTTAAATGTGTGTTACACTTGCAATATGGATCGTAACAAGTGTGTGTAAAGTGTTTTCTGGCAAAAGGGCTCTTAGTGGTTGAGACATCTACTAAGTGTCATGTACTGAAAATGTAAAAGCTCTATGTGAAAATTAAACTTTAATCCGATCGTTTATGAAGTTAGAACTTTAGTTAGAACTGAACTAGAACTGAACTAGGACTGAACTAGAACTGAACTAGGACTGAACTAGAACTGAACTAGAACTGAACTAGAACTGAACTAGAACTGAACTAGAACTGAACTAGAACTGAACTAGAACTGAACTAGAACTGAACTAGAACTGAACTAGAACTGAACTAGAACTGAACTAGAACTGAACTAGAACTGAACTAGAACTGAACTAGAACTGAACTAGAACTGAACTAGAACTGAACTAGAACTGAACTAGAACTGAACTAGAACTGAACTAGAACTGAACTAGAACTGAACTAGAAGAACTAGAACTGAACTAGAACTGAACTAGAACTGAACTAGAACTGAACTAGAACTGAACTAGAACTGAACTAGAACTGAACTAGAACTGAACTAGAACGAACTGAACTGAACTAGAACTGAACTAGAACTGAACTAGAACTGAACTAGAACTGAACTAGAACTGAACTAGAACTGAACTAGAACTGAACTAGAACTGAACTAGAACTGAACTAGAACTGAACTAAACTGAACTAGAACTGAACTAGAACTGAACTAGAACTGAACTAGAATGAACTAGAACTGAACTAGAACTGAACTAGAACTGAACTAGAACTGAACTAGAACTGAACTAGAACTGAACTAGAACTGAACTAGAACTGAACTAGAACTGAACTAGAACTGAACTAGAACTGAACTAGAACTGAACTAGAACTGAACTAGAACTGAACTAGAACTGAACTAGAACTGAACTAGAACTGAACTAGAACTGAACTAGAACTGAACTAGAACTGAACTAGAACTGAACTAGAACTGAACTAGAACTGAACTAGAACTGAACTAGAACTGAACTAGAACTGAACTAGAACTGAACTAGAACTGAACTAGAACTGAACTAGAACTGAACTAGAACTGAACTAGAACTGAACTAGAACTGAACTAGAACTGAACTAGAACTGAACTAGAACTGAACTAGAACTAAACTAGAACTGAACTAGAACTGAACTAGAACTGAACTAGAACTGAACTAGAAACTGAACTAGAACTGAACTAGAACTGAACTAGAACTGAACTAGAACTGAACTAGAACTGAACTAGAACTGAACTAGAACTGAACTAGAACTGAACTAGAACTGAACTAGAACTGAACTAGAACTGAACTAGAACTGAACTAGAACTGAACTAGAACTGAACTAGAACTGAACTAGAACTGAACTAGAACTGAACTAGAACTGAACTAGAACTGAACTAGAACTGAACTAGAACTGAACTAGAACTGAACTAGAACTGAACTAGAACTGAACTAGAACTGAACTAGAACTGAACTAGAACTGAACTAGAACTGAACTAGAACTGAACTAGAACTGAACTAGAACTGAACTAGAACTGAACTAGAACTGAACTGAACTAGAACTGAACTAGAACTGAATTAGCACTGAACTAGAACTGAACTAGAACTGAACTAGAACTGAACTAGAACTGAACTAGAACTGAACTAGAACTGAACTAGAACTGAACTAGAACTGAACTAGAACTGAACTAGAACTGAACTAGAACTGAACTAGAACTGAACTAGAACTGAATTAGAACTGAACTAGAACTGAACTAGAACTGAACTAGAACTGAACTAGAACTGAACTAGAACTGAACTAGAACTGAACTAGAACTGAACTAGAACTGAACTAGAACTGAACTAGAACTGAACTAGAACTGAACTAGAACTGAACTAGAACTGAACTAGAACTGAACTAGAACTGAACTAGAACTGAACTAGAACTGAACTAGAACTGAACTAGAACTGAAAGAACTGAACTAGAACTGAACTAGAACTGAACTAGAACTGAACTAGAACTGAACTAGAACTGAACTAGAACTGAACTAGAACTGAACTAGAACTGAACTAGAACTGAACTAGAACTGAACTAGAACTGAACTAGAACTGAACTAGAACTGAACTAGAACTGAACTAGAACTGAACTAGAACTGAACTAGAACTGAACTAGAACTGAACTAGAAACTGAACTAGAACTGAACTAGAACTGAACTAGAACTGAACTAGAACTGAACTAGAACTGAACTACTGAACTAGAAACTGAACTAGAACTGAACTAGAACTGAACTAGAATTGAACTAGAACTGAACTAGAACTGAACTAGAACTGAACTAGAACTGAACTAGAACTGAACTAGAACTGAACTAGAACTGAACTAGAACTGAACTAGAACTGAACTAGAACTGAACTAGAACTGAACTAGAACTGAACTAGAACTGAACTAGAACTGAACTAGAACTGAACTAGAACTGAACTAGAACTGAACTAGAACTGAACTAGAACTGAACTAGAACTGAACTAGAACTGAACTAGAACTGAACTAGAACTGAACTAGAACTGAACTAGAACTGAACTAGAACTGAACTAGAACTGAACTAGAACTGAACTAGAACTGAACTAGAACTGAACTAGAACTGAACTAGAACTGAACTAGAACTGAACTAGAACTGAACTAGAACTGAACTAGAACTGAACTAGAACTGAACTAGAACTGAACTAGAACTGAACTAGAACTGAACTAGAACTGAACTAGAACTGAACTAGAACTGAACTAGAACTGAACTAGAACTGAACTAGAACTGAACTAGAACTGAACTAGAACTGAACTAGAACTGAACTAGAACTGAACTAGAACTGAACTAGAACTGAACTAGAACTGAACTAGAACTGAACTAGAACTGAACTAGAACTGAACTAGAACTGAACTAGAACTGAACTAGAACTGAACTAGAACTGAACTAGAACTAAACTAGAACTGAACTAGAACTGAACTAGAACTGAACTAGAACTGAACTAGAACTGAACTAGAACTGAACTAGAACTGAACTAGAACTGAACTAGAACTGAACTAGAACTGAACTAGAACTGAACTAGAACTGAACTAGAACTGAACTAGAACTGAACTAGAACTGAACTAGAACTGAACTAGAACTGAACTAGAACTGAACTAGAACTGAACTAGAACTGAACTAGAACTGAACTAGAACTGAACTAGAACTGAACTAGAACTGAACTAGAACTGAACTAGAACTGAACTAGAACTGAATTAGAACTGAACTAGAACTGAACTAGAACTGAACTAGAACTGAACTAGAACTGAACTAGAACTGAACTAGAACTGAACTACAACTAAACTACAACTAAACTAGAACTGAACTACAACTGAACTAGAACTGAACTAGAACTGAACTAGAACTGAACTAGAACTGAACTAGAACTGAACTAGAACTAAACTAGAACTGAACTAGAACTGAACTAGAACTGAACTAGAACTGAACTAGAACTGAACTAGAACTGAACTAGAACTGAACTAGAACTGAACTAGAACTGAACTAGAACTGAACTAGAACTGAACTAGAACTGAACTAGAACTGAACTAGAACTGAACTAGAACTGAACTAGAACTGAACTAGAACTGAACTAGAACTGAACTAGAACATTTGTTCACGTAAAATATTTTATTTTCTTAAAGCTTTAAGTTTCTTTAAAGCTTTAAGGTTTCTTAAAGCTTTAAGGTTCTTTAAAACCACTGCCACAACTCTACTATCCTAGAACAAATTTAAGGATTTCCCCTTTAAGGCATCTTTATTATATTATCCATCCTATTTTCATCAACATCTAACGATACGTACTTTGGTGTCTGTTTGTACTCTTGATTTTATTATTAGTATCAGCAGTTACTTATTTGCATTAAAAATTTTCTATCATTTTTTCACTTATCATTCTTGTTTCTTGAATTTTTTCATTCATTTTCTAATTTTTTCTGTATTTTCCATTTCTAGTGATTTTCGTTTCAATCGTTTTGAGGAAATACCAGCAAATGCTTTCGATGGATTAACACAGGTGACTACGTTGTTTCTGAATGAGAATGAGATTTCCTATATACAGGAGGGAGCTTTGATGGTTTAGTCTCATTGCGGTTCTTGTATTTGAGCTCTAATCGCATTAGCAAGTTGCCAAAGAGTATCTTTCAAAAGTTGCAGCAATTGGAGGGAATGTAAGTATTAGATTAAAAATGTTATAATAATAAAGTTGTATAGTTAAAGTAAAGAGAGTGATGAAAGTAATGAACTAATTCCTAAAGTAAAGAGAATATAAAATAAATCAAAAAAATGAAATAAATATCTGGATTTAATTGAAGGGAATTTATCCCTATACTTTTAGAAATGGTGTTATATTGGTAGTTTGTATTGTCTTGTCTAATTGCTTGACCAAAGAATGAAAAGTGAAATGCAAATACATTGTGTGATTGAAAATTTTACAACTTCTAATAAAAGCACGTTTTCATTTCAATGATTTTCTTTTTATTGTTGCTGTATATAAACAATGTATTTTCTTTTCGTTTAATTTCTTATTCTGTTTGTTCCTATAGATACCTGGAAAACAATGATTTGGCAAATTGATGCAGATACCTTCGCCAATTTACCACGTTTAAATCGAATGTAAGTATCGTATTACACAAAAGCTAAAATTACATAAAACTGATATAGTCTCAATCGTATATATGGTATGAAGCAGAAAATGTTTTGAGATTTGTAACATTAAGTTTCAGTTTATTAAAGGAGTTGAAAAACATTTTTGGTTACATAAAGTAAGATTTAACAAAATTAAGATTTAAGGTCAATTCTAGTTCAGTTCTAGTTCAGTTCTAGTTCAGTTCTAGTTCAGTTCTAGTTCAGTTCTAGTTCAGTTCTACTTCAGTTCTAGTTCAGTTCAGTTCTAGTTCAGTTCTAGTTCAGTTCTAGTTCATTTCTAGTTCAGTTCTAGTTCAGTTCTAGTTCTAGTTCAGTTCTAGTTCTAGTTCAGTTCTAGTTCTAGTTCTAGTTCTAGTTCAGTTCTAGTTCTAGTTCAGTTCTAGTTCAGTTCTAGTTCAGTTCTAGTTCAGTTCTAGTTCAGTTCTAGTTCATTTCTAGTTCAGTTCTAGTTCAGTTCTAGTTCAGTTCTAGTTCAGTTCTAGTTCAGTTCTAGTTCAGTTCTAGTTCAGTTCTAGTTCAGTTCTAGTTCAGTTCTAGTTCAGTTCTAGTTCAGTTCTAGTTCAGTTCTAGTTCAGTTCTAGTTCAGTTCTAGTTCAGTTCTAGTTCAGTTCTAGTTCAGTTCTAGTTCAGTTCTAGTTCAGTTCTAGTTCAGTTTAGTCAGTTCTAGTTCAATTCTAGTTCAGTTCTAGTTCAGTTCTAGTTCAGTTCTAGTTCAGTTCTAGTTCAGTTCTAGTTCAGTTCTAGTTCAGTTCTAGTTCAGTTCTAGTTCAGTTCTAGTTCAGTTCTAGTTCAGTTCTAGTTCAGTTCTAGTTCAGTTCTAGTTCAGTTCTAGTTCAGTTCTAGTTCAGTTCTAGTTCAGTTCTAGTTCAGTTCTAGTTCAGTTCTAGTTCAGTTCTAGTTCAGTTCTAGTTCAGTTCTAGTTCAGTTCTAGTTCAGTTCTAGTTCAGTTCTAGTTCAGTTCTAGTTCAGTTCTAGTTCAGTTTTTCTAGTTCAGTTCTAGTTCAGTTCTAGTTCAGTTCTAGTTCAGTTCTAGTTCAGTTCTAGTTCAGTTCTAGTTCAGTTCTAGTCATTCAGTTCTAGTTCAGTTCTAGTTCAGTTCTAGTTCAGTTCTAGTTCAGTTCTAGTTCAGTTCTAGTTCAGTTCTAGTTCAGTTCTAGTTCAGTTCTAGTTCAGTTCAGTTCTAGTTCAGTTCTAGTTCAGTTCTAGTTCAGTTCTAGTTCAGTTCAGTTCAGTTCTAGTTCAGTTCAGTTCTAGTTCAGTTCTAGTTCAGTTCTAGTTCAGTTCTAGTTCAGTTCAGTTCTAGTTCAGTTCTAGTTCAGTTCTAGTTCAGTTCTAGTTCAGTTCTAATTCAGTTCTAGTTCAGTTCTAGTTCAGTTCTAGTTCAGTTCTAGTTCAGTTCTAGTTCAGTTCTAGTTCAGTTCTAGTTCAGTTCTAGTTCAGTTCTAGTTCAGTTCTAGTTCAGTTCTAGTTCAGTTCTAGTTCAGTTCTAGTTCAGTTCTAGTTCAGTTCTAGTTCAGTTCTAGTTCACTTGGATCGTAAACCCTAAATAATGAGGTTGAAAAAATGTGTATCAAATTTCCTTTTTGTATTGCCCGTAGCTCATTGCTAATTGCATTTTTTATATATATTTCTCCATGTCATACAGTTTTCTAATTCTAATCCTTTTTTTTTTTTCTTCTTTTCACTTTTTTTTGCAACAATAAATTTGTGCCTCCTTCTGCCTACACCTACTTTATCTGCACCATTTAGTTTTCTTTTCAATAATAAACTGACTAATCTGCCACCAGATGCATTTACACGTTTGCCAGCTTGAAACGCCTACGACTAGATGGCAATCCCATCGACTGTAATTGTGGTATTTACTCATTGTGGCGCCACTATCAACAGCATCCCCAACGACAAGTCATCACCATTGCTTTGACTTGTGAGACACCAGCAACATTGTACGTCATGGATTTGCGAGTCTACAGGAATATCATTTTCATTGCAGTAAGTGAAATCTGTATTATGAAACTAGATATAAGTCTATGTATGTATGTGTATGTTGCACAGATACAATTACCAACTATTACTAATACTACTACTTTTAGTTTTAATCTATGTACATATATATGTAGTGTGTCTATTGTATTCGAGCGTAAACAGTTGAAAATCCAATTTAAACTGTGGGAAATTACTGAGCAATGACTGACTATGTATAACCAGCCATCCAACCAACTATCTATTCTAGATAGAATATCTCGAATATAGTTATTGTTTCCTTATTTTATTGTTCATTTTTTGTTTTGTTTATTTGTTACTTTTCATTTCTTTTCATTGCTATTTTATTATTAACAAAAACTTTTAGAAGAAAATCATACACTGTAAATTATTTAGAGGTAGACGAACGAGAGGTTGGTGAAAAATGAAAATCCTTTTCAGAAAATTGTTTTGTTGGATTTATTATAGTTTGTTCAATTGTCTTTAAAGTGGTATACTTTAATATTGCTTTGATGAACTTAAATAAAAATATAAAAATGATTAAAGAAAATCTTACAAAATTACTTTTAAAAAATTTTTCTCATTCATGTGCAATTACTTAAATTTGCAGTAAAAATAGCATCGAAAATAAAATGTATAAAAAAAAATCTGTTCAAAAATTTATTAAAAGTTCAGCGTAGATCTAGTTCAAATCTAATACAGTTCTAGTTCTGTTCTAGTTCTTTTCTAGTTCTGTTCTAGTTCTGTTCTAGTTCTGTTCTAGTTCTGTTCTAGTTCTGTTCTAGTTCTGTTCTAGTTCTGTTCTAGTTCTGTTCTAGTTCTGTTCTAGTTCTGTTCTAGTTCTGTTCTAGTTCTGTTCTAGTTCTGTTCTAGTTCTGTTCTAGTTCTGTTCTAGTTCTGTTCTAGTTCTGTTCTAGTTCTGTTCTAGTTCTGTTCTAGTTCTGTTCTAGTTCTGTTCTAGTTCTGTTCTAGTTCTGTTCTAGTTCTGTTCTAGTTCTGTTCTAGTTCTGTTCTAGTTCTGTTCTAGTTCTGTTCTAGTTCTGTTCTAGTTCTGTTCTAGTTCTGTTCTAGTTCTGTTCTAGTTCTGTTCTAGTTCTGTTCTAGTTCTGTTCTAGTTCTGTTCTAGTTCTGTTCTAGTTCTGTTCTATTTCTGTTCTGTTCTGTTCTAGTTCAGTTCTATTCTAGTTCTGTTCTAGTTCTGTTCTAGTTCTGTTCTAGTTCTGTTCTAGTTCTGTTCTAGTTCTGTTCTAGTTCTGTTCTAGTTCTGTTCTAGTTCTGTTCTAGTTCTGTTCTAGTTCTGTTCTAGTTCTGTTCTAGTTCTGTTCTAGTTCTGTTCTAGTTCTGTTCTAGTTCTGTTCTAGTTCTGTTCTAGTTCTGTTCTAGTTCTGTTCTAGTTCTGTTCTAGTTCTGTTCTAGTTCTGTTCTAGTTCTGTTCTAGTTCTGTTCTAGTTCTGTTCTAGTTCTGTTCTAGTTCTGTTCTAGTTCTGTTCTAGTTCTGTTCTAGTTCTGTTCTAGTTCTGTTCTAGTTCTGTTCTAGTTCTGTTCTAGTTCTGTTCTAGTTCTGTTCTAGTTCTGTTCTAGATCTGTTCTAGTTCTGTTCTAGTTCTGTTCTAGTTCGTCTAGTTGCTGTTCTAGTTCTGTTCTAGTTCTGTTCTAGTTCTGTTCTAGTTCTGTTCTAGTTCTGTTCTAGTTCTGTTCTAGTTCTGTTCTAGTTCTGTTCTAGTTCTGTTCTAGTTCTCTGTTCTAGTTCTGTTCTGTTCTGTTCTAGTTCTGTTCTAGTTCTGTTCTAGTTCTGTTCTAGTTCTGTTCTAGTTTCTAGTTCTGTTCTAGTTCTGTTCTAGTTCTGTTCTAGTTCTGTTCTAGTTCTGTTCTAGTTCTGTTCTAGTTCTGTTCTAGTTCTGTTCTAGTTCTGTTCTAGTTCTGTTCTAGATTCAGTTCTAGTTCAGTTCTAGTTCGTTCTAGTTCAGTTCTAGTACAGTTTCTAGTTCAGTTCTAGTACGTCTAGTTGCAGTTCTAGTTCAGTTCTAGTTCAGTTCTAGTTCAGTTCTAGTTCAGTTCTAGTTCAGTTCTAGTTCAGTTCTAGTTCGTTCTAGTTCAGTTCTAGTTCAGTTCTAGTTCAGTTCTAGTTCAGTTCTAGTTCAGTTCTAGTTCAGTTCTAGTTCAGTTCTAGTTCAGTTCTAGTTCAGTTCTAGTTCAGTTCTAGTTCAGTTCTAGTTCAGTTCTAGTTCAGTTCTAGTTCAGTTCTAGTTCAGTTCTAGTTCAGTTCTAGTTCAGTTCTAGTTCATTCTAGTTCAGTTCTAGTTCAGTTCTAGTTCAGTTCTAGTTCAGTTCTAGTTCAGTTCTAGTTCAGTTCTAGTTCAGTTCTAGTTCAGTTCTAGTTCAGTTCTAGTTCAGTTCTAGTTCAGTTCTAGTTCAGTTCTAGTTCAGTTTCTAGTTCAGTTCTAGTTCAGTTCTAGTTCAGTTCTAGTTCAGTTCTAGTTCAGTTCTAGTTCAGTTCTAGTTCATTTCTAGTTCAGTTCTAGTTCAGTTCTAGTTCAGTTCTAGTTCAGTTCTAGTTCATTCTAGTTCAGTTCTAGTTCAGTTCTAGTTCAGTTCTGTTCAGTTCTAGTCAGTAGTTCAGTTCTAGTTCAGTTCTAGTTCGTTCTAGTTCTGTTCTAGTTCTGTTCTAGTCTGTTCTAGTTCTGTTCTAGTTCTGTTCTAGTTCTGTTCTAGTTCTGTTCTAGTTCTGTTCTAGTTCTGTTATAGTTCTGTTCTAGTCTGTTCTAGTTCTGTTCTAGTTCTGTTCTAGTTCTGTTCTAGTTCTGTTCTAGTTCTGTTCTAGTTCTGTTCTAGTTCTGTTCTAGTTCTGTTCTAGTTCTGTTCTAGTTCTGTTCTAGTTCTGTTCTAGTTCTGTTCTAGTTCTGTTCTAGTTCTGTTCTAGTTCTGTTCTAGTTCTGTTCTAGTTCTGTTCTAGTTCTGTTCTAGTTCTGTTCTAGTTCTGTTCTAGTTCTGTTCTAGTTCTGTTCTAGTTCTGTTCTAGTTCTGTTCTAGTTCTGTTCTAGTCTGTTCTAGTTCTGTTCTAGTTCTGTTCTAGTTCTGTTCTAGTTCTGTTCTAGTTCTGTTCTAGTTCTGTTCTAGTTCTGTTGTTCGTCTAGTCTGTAGTTCTGTTCTAGTTCTGTTCTAGTTCTGTTCTAGTTCTGTTCTAGTTCTGTTCCAGTTCTGTTCTAGTTCTGTCTAGTTCTGTTCTAGTTCTGTTCTAGTTCTGTTCTAGTTCTGCTCTAGTTCTGTTCTAGTTCTGTTCTAGTTCTGTTCTAGTTCTGTTCTAGTTCTGTTCTATTCTGTTCTAGTTCTGTTCTAGTTCTGTTATGGTTTCGTTCTAGTTCTGTTCTGTTCTAGTTCTTGTTCTAGATCTATTTTTGGATATGTAATGTGTTTCGCTTAAACTTTAACAAATAAAATACTTTTAATACATTTTTTGTTATATAACATTTTAGTTTTTATTTTAAAACATGTTTATTTTAAATTTATTATTACAAAAATTTTCGTTTCACAAAAAAGTCAATTTAACTCTAACAATAGCACTTACACCAATATATTGTTCAGTTAACATTTTTTAATAAAAAAATATATTTTTTTGCTTGAGACAATAGTATAAACAAATCAAAAAACATTCAAGTGAAATGCAAATAAATGTTACACGTTACAGTTAATAAAACATGAATTTTATGAAAGAAAATAAAATAAAACATATTGTTTTATGTTAACTATCTAATGATACGAATCATGTATTTTTTTAAAAATGTATACAATAACCCAGTGAAAACTTTTAGACTTTTTACAAGTAATACCTTACTATGTAAAGACTACGCAGTACAATTTAATGAAAGTTCATTCTAACATTTAACAATTGCAGCTTTAACTAAACTGTTCATCAATAACTAAATTCAATTGAATTTTGATTAATCTTAATTAAAGTGACTTCCCAAGAACACCCCTTATATAACAAAAGAGCAAAAAGTTTCCCTAACTATAGCCTACATAACCCTAGTCCCTTAAAACTTGTATTTTACTTTTAATAAGAGTTTATGAATACACACAATCTTTTTTTCTTCTCAAATTTACAGAAAAACCTGAAATAGTACAGGCACCACATGACATGCATTTAACAACAGGTGAAACAGTTGAGTTGCCCTGTCGCATGGTGGGCGATCCAGAGCCTGAAATAATTTGGATGCAAAACACAAATGAAGTTTCAACAGACTATTCACCTAAAATGCAAATATTGTCCTCAGGCACGCTCAAAATAAATGCGGTAGACTCAAATGATATTGGTATTTATGAGTGCATAGGACGCAATGAAGTTGGTGAAACACGTACTCAACCCATACGTATGATGGTTGAACAAACCCCAAACCAAAACACAAACTCAAACAATCGATACGCTCCAACACAACATGGGGAATATAATAGTAACAATGATAATAATCAACTGTGGAATGTTCATCTAAACCAAAATAACAGACAGAATACCGAATTAATTCGCAACATTGACAACAGCAACAGAAACATTCCTCGCAGTAATAGCAACGGTAGACAAGCTTATGCACCATACACAGCCTCACCATTACATCCTGCCAACGGTCTCCAGCAACCACCCACTTTTGTATACACACCCACGGATCGTATTGTGGCCCTAAATGGCGATGATGTACGTTTGGATTGTATGGCAACGGGCAATCCAACACCTGACATCCAATGGTATTTCAACGGACGCTTGGTTGCACAATCAACTGATGCACTACGCATCCAAACAAATGGTAGTTTAGTTATTGTTCAGCCTACTCTACTACAGGCAGGTGTATATCGTTGTGAGGCCACAAATCATTTAGGTACCATACAGTCTAGCGCCAATATCGAAGTAAGAGGTAAGTGAAACAAGGATTAATAAATTATTGGGCAGTCCGGATTTGTTGGAAGACAGTATTAGGAAAGAGTGTTGTTTATAATAAGGTGAATTTTTTTAAAAAACATTTAGTTCTAGTTCAGTTCTAGTTCAGTTCTAGTTCAGTTCTAGTTCAGTTCTAGTTCAGTTCTAGTACAGTTCTAGTTCAGTTTAGTAAGTTCTAGTTCAGTCTAGTTCAGTTCTAGTTCAGTTCTAGTCAGTTCTAGTTCAGTTCTAGTTCAGTTCTAGTTCAGTTCTAGTTCAGTTCTAGTTCAGTTCTAGTTCAGTTCTAGTTCAGTTCTAGTTCAGTTCTAGTTCAGTTCTAGTTCAGTTCTAGTTCAGTTCTAGTTCAGTTCTAGTTCAGTTCTAGTTCAGTTCTAGTTCAGTTCTAGTCAGTTCTAGTTCAGTTCTAGTTCAGTTCTAGTTCCGTTCTAGTCAGTTCTAGTTCAGTTCTAGTTCAGTTCTAGTTCAGTTCTAGTTCAGTTCTAGTTCAGTTCTAGTTCAGTTCTAGTTCAGTTCTAGTTCAGTTCTAGTTCAGTTCTAGTTCAGTTTATAGTTAGTTCTAGTTAGTTCTAGTTCAGTTCTAGTTCAGTTCTAGTTCAGTTCTAGTTCAGTTCTGGTTCAGTTCTAGTTCAGTTCTAGTTCAGTTCTAGTACAGTTCTAGTTCAGTTCTAGTTCAGTTCTAGTTCAGTTCTAGTTCAGTTCTAGTTCAGTTCTAGTTCAGTTCTAGTTCAGTTCTAGTTCAGTTCTAGTTCAGTTCTAGTTCAGTTCTAGTTCAGTTCTAGTTCAGTTCTAGTTCAGTTCTAGTTCAGTTCTAGTTCAGTTCTAGTTCAGTTCTAGTTCAGTTCTAGTTCAGTTCTAGTTCAGTTCTAGTTCAGTTCTAGTTCAGTTCTAGTTCAGTTCTAGTTCAGTTCTAGTTCAGTTCTAGTTCAGTTCTTGTTCAGTTCTAGTTCAGTTCAGTTCTAGTTCAGTTCTAGTTCAGTTCAGTTCAGTTCTAGTTCAGTTCAGTTCTAGTTCAGTTCAGTTCTAGTTCAGTTCTAGTTCAGTTCTAGTTCAGTTCTAGTTCAGTTCTAGTTCAGTTCTAGTTCAGTTCTAGTTCAGTCCTAGTTCAGTTCTAGTTCAGTTCTAGTTCAGTTCTAGTTCAGTTCTAGTTCTAGTTCAGTTCTAGTTCAATTCTAGTTCAGTTCTAGTTCAGTTCTAGTTCAGTTCTAGTTCAGTTCTAGTTCAGTTCTAGTTCAGTTCTAGTTCAGTTCTAGTTCAGTTCTAGTTCAGTTCTAGTTCAGTTATAGTTCAGTTATAGTTCAGTTATAGTTCAGTTATAGTTCAGTTATAGTTCAGTTATAGTTCAGTTATAGTTCTGTTTTAGTTTAGTTATAGTTCTGTTCTAGTTCAGTGCTGTTATAATTCATTTCTATCGCATTTCCATCCCTAATTGCCTTATACCACTAATATGTTCAGCGTTGCGGCAACTTCAAGGTTATTTTAAACGCTTCGAGTAATACTTTTATCTAACAGTTTTTATCAAACAAAAAGAAAAGTACATTTCAAAGCTCTGCCATAGGCATTTATACAAATATAAAAAAACATAAATTCACAGACATGCATTCACAAAAAAGACACCTAAAGTGTAGAAGATTGAAAGTAGAAAAAAATTGTATTTATCCATTTGAAACTGAATGCATGTGTTGTGCAGTTTATGTTTGACATTCTGTCAAAAACACAAACACAATAAATAAATGATGAATGTAGTACAGTAAGGTGGCATGTGCATTAGAAGCCAAAGAAATTTTTAAATAGGAAACCAAGAATTTAAAGAAATATAGAAGCTTTTAAGTAAAATTTTAAGTAAAAATAATACTTTATTTCAACAAATCTTATAAATATTTCATATGTACTTTATTTATTTAAATTATTTTTTATACATAAAATAACAACCCTCCTATTAAGCAGACATCACAGATATTTTTATGTACAATCAATGTGATGGATGGTTATGTTATGAATATAAATTTCATAATAAATTAAAACATATGGTAAAACTACGATGCCATATACAATTTTATTTAAATTCCTTCAAAAATAATAATCCTAGAGGAAATAGCAAATGCTCCAGAGGGATACCAACATACCGACAGACAGATACATTCATATGTAGATGAATACACAAATATACAGACAAATATTATTTGCATAAATTTATTTTAATGAAACAGTCATGTTCACAGCAGTGACAGTATGTTCGATTAGAAATGCATTTGAATATTGAGCAGATTAAACCAAAAATAAACTACAAAATTGAACAAACTGAATAACGGTTAATACGTTATCATCAAGTTGTAAAACTAATGCTTAATTTTATGGTCATTTAAATTTTAACAATATTGGATTCCATTTTATAAGAAAACTAGAAACTAGAACTGAACTAGAACTGAACTAGAACTGAACTAGAACTGAACTAGAACTGAACTAGAACTAAACTAGAACTGAACTAGAACTGAACTAGAACTGAACTAGAACTGAACTAGAACTGAGCTAGAACTGAACTAGAACTGAACTAGAACTGAACTAGAACTGAACTAGAACTGAACAAGAACTGAACTAGAACTGAACTAGAACTGAACTAGAACTGAACTAGAACTGAACTAGAACTGAAACTAGAACTGAACTAGAACTGAACTAGAAACTGAACTAGAACTGAACTAGAACTGAACTAGAACTGAACTAGAACTGAACTAGAACTGAACTAGAACTGAACTAGAACTGAACTAGAACTACTAGAACTGAACTAGAACTGAACTAGAACTGAACTAGAACTGAACTAGAACTGAACTAGAACTGACTAGAACTGAACTAGAACTGAACTAGAAACTGAACTAGAACTAACTGAACTACTGAACTAGAACTGACTATAACTGAACAGAACTGAACTAAAACTGAACTAAGAACTAACTAGAACTGACTAGAACTGAACTAGAACTGAACTAGAACTGAACTAGAACTGACTAGAACTGAACTAGACTGAACTAGAACTGAACTAGAACTGAACTAGAAACTGAACTAGAACTGAACTAGAACTGAACTAGACTGAACTAGAACTGAACTAGAACTGAACTAGAACTGAACTAGAAATGAACTGAACTAGAAACTGAACTAGAACTGACTAGAACTGAACTAGAACTGAACTAGAACTGACTAGAACTGACTAGAACTGAACTAGAACTGAACTAGAACTGAACTAGAACTGACTAGAACTGAACTAGAACTGAACTAGAACTGAACTAGAACTGAACTAGAACTGAACTAGAACTGAACTAGAACTGAACTAGAACTGAACTAGAACTGAACTAGAACTGAACTAGAACTGAACTAGAACTGAACTAGAACTGAACTAGAACTGAACTAGAACTGAACTGAACTAAACTGAGCTAGAATTAAGTACAACTGAGGCTAGATGTGAACTAGAAATAGAACTGAATTATTATTGGTATGTTCTTGTTAGCACCAAATTATCCAAAAAATCTCTTTGCAAAGCGTGAAAAGTTAGCTTTCATGACCCCAATTGCTGTTACGCATCTGTTAAAATATGATATAAAAAAATTAAATTAAACTAAATATAATGCGTAAAATATGCATCATTTAATTGACTTGTAACAATGTTGCGGTTTTGTTGGTTTTATTGAAATTTCGAAAATTCAATTTACAACAATTTTTTTTTTATACATCCCAGCCCTCGGTGACCAACAAAATAAATAAATTAATGTATTCACGTTTCGAATGTGTGTGTGTGTGTGCGTTACATTTATCATGATCTGAATTTAATTACAAATATTTTGACAGATTGTGTGAGTGATATAATCTAATAACAATTAGATATTAAGAGTAGGAGTTTATTTGTATAATTGCTATTGAAAGTATAAATTGTATAAATTGGTTTAGAAAAATCTAGTAGATTTGGTGGTTAAGTTGTTACAATTGTAATTAGAGAAGGAAATGTGAAATAAATGTTAATAATTGGTAGAATATTATGGGGTTTAAAGAGGATTAAGAAATTATATTAAATACTAATGATTAGCAAATCATTACTATAGCAAACTTATTACTATATAATTTATCCATAGCTTACAATTACTCCCCTAATTAAAATCAAACATATCTAGTGCCTTAACAAGTGTCAGTTTTAAAATACACTTTTAAGCTATCGCTTAAGTTTGAAATCCAAAAAGTGTTCATTGTGTTTACTGCTCATTTTCATTTAAATTAAGTTACTTGAATGCCAGTGTGTCTGTTTAGGCGGATATTAAAACTAACAAAAACGTGCATACATATGTATGTATGTGTAATGTTTGTCTTTAACAAACAGATTATTTCGCACAGACACTCATTCTGATTCAGTTATACATTACCACTAGATTCACTTAAATACAGACATTACTTTCATACAAAATCGCTGTATAGTGGAGTACGTGCCATCAAATTAAGAGATTTAAAAGGACGATTTCATTATGGTGGCGATAAAACTATTTATATGAATTATTTTATAATACGTTATAATTTGGAAGCTTATACCACCCAGGGACCCTGAAAGTTCTCTCAAAATCAATTATTACTTGAGTAATACTTCAAACATTTTGTATATATAAAACTATTGCCTTTGCTTCTATCACTTCGAATCTTCTTTTAAATAAAACTTTCAGTTATGCATGTTCATGCTTGCATTAAACTTTCAGTTAGAGTTCCTGAATTTTCTTCTTTACTTTTTCCAAAAAAAATAATTTTGCTAAAAGCAAAAGTTTTGCAACAAATGCAAAACAGTTTAATAAATTGTAAATTACTTAGCACAGTTCCAACTTAAACATTAAATAGCTTTCATTAGTAAATTAAAATTAAAATAAATGTGTTTAGTTTTAAAGTTAATTACATACTTTGAAATGTCTGTTCGCAACTCATTAAGAGTGGCAATTGGTTGCAGATTTTTCAACCATACACATGCATTTACACTGTGTAACGGCATGTACGCAGTAAAAACAAACGTGCACGTCATTTTCATTTGTCAATTTAACGCCATTAAATACTTAACCTCACAATTACTATATGTATGTATTTGGTACATAAGAAATAGGAGGCTAATCGGAAAATGGCTCTAAAAAACTTTTCCAAACTGTTATTCTAATATATTCTCAGTTAAGTGTTGTGTACCATATTGTGTACTCTTCCACTTTTCACTTAAGTCTGGATAAATATCTATATCATCCTTTCCTAAATATATTCCAAATATATCTAGACAAAATGCGAACTCATTATTGGTTAGATTATAAAGGTTGTCCCTATTCACTGCATTAGAGACATGGTTGAGCAGTGCATCCGCATTAATATTTCCAAGAATTTTATAAAGATATGGTATCTACTTTGCTAATAACGACACTCAAGTACCAGTTAATATGTCGGATATATCTGAATCTGAAAGCCTTAATATCAGTGCAGATACGATGTCTCCTAATGATTGAGAATTCAGCCGACAATCCAAGTCAGCAATAATCTAAACTTTACACGAAAAAGCAATTCTATATTATTACCAATGAGTCCGCAATAATATTTCCAGGAATCTGTAAATAATCTGGTAACTAGTTCGCAATTACCGACATTCAAGTACCAGTTTATATTTCGTATATTTTGCCGTTAAGTACTTCGTCATAAGTGTAGACACGAAGTCTCGATAAAACCGGTTAGCAGCCCTCGTAATGTTTCGAATTTCAGACGACAATCCAAGTCGACAATAATCTAGATAGTCCACCGAACCATAAATCATACTAAATCTATAGTCTGGACTATTGATTTGTCTATAGTCTGGACTATAGATTTGTCTGTACTCTGGACTATAGATTTGTCTATAGTTTGGACTATAGATTTGTCTATAGTCTGGACTATAGATTTGTCTATAGTCTGGACTATGGATTTGTCTATTGTCTGGACTATAGATTTGTCTATAGTCTGGACTATGGATTTGTCTATAGTCTGGACTATAGATTTGTCTATAGTCTGAACTAGAGATTTGTCTATAGTATGGATTATAGATTTGTCTATAGTCTGGACTATAGATTTGTCTATAGTCTGAACTATAGATTTGTCTATAGTATGGACTATAGATTTGTCTATAATCTGGACTATAGATTTCTCTACAGTCTGGACTATAGATTTGTCTATAGTCTGAACTATAGATTTGTCTATAGTCTGGACTATAGATTTGTCTATATTCTGGACTATAAATTTGTCTATAGTCTGGACTATAGATTTGTCTATAGTCTGGACTATAGATTTGTCTATAGTCTGGACTATAGATAAGTCTATAGTCTGGACTATAGATATGTCTATAGTCTAGACTATAGATATGTCTATAGTCTGGACTATAGATATCTCTATAGTCTGGACTATAGATTTGTCTATATTCTGGACTATAGATATGTCTATAGTCTGGACTATAGATGTCTATAGTCTGGACTATAGATATGTCTATAGTCTGGACTATAGATATGCCTATAGTCTGGACTATAGATATGTCTATAGTCTGGACTATAGATATCTCTATAGTCTGGACTATAGATATGTCTATAGTCTGGACTTTAGATATGTCTATAGTCTGGACTATAGATTTGTCTATAGTCTGGACTATAGATATGTCTATAATTTGGACTATAGATAAGTCTATAGTTTGGACTATAGATAAGTCTATTTCTGGAGTATAGATTTCTCTATAGTGGAATGAATGTCTATAGTCTGGACTATAGATATGTCTATAGTCTGGACTATAGATATGTCTATAGTCTGGACTATAGATATGTCTATAGTCTGGACTATAGATATGTCTATAGTTTGGACTATAGATAAGTATATTTCTGGACTATGGAAATATCTACTGTATGGAAAGTCCTTTCAGTAGCTTCCTCCTACACACGCTGACAATTGGCGATATGCATATGTACAAACACTCACATAACATGCGTATGTAAATGAAAGAGAAATATTTAACAATGAAACCATAATTGTTTACAGACGCAATTACTTTGTTTTAATGAATCTAAGAGTTTTTTTGTTATTTTCCCACTATTGATACACTGACACCCGCTTACTCACACTTATAAATAATATTTTGCGTGTGTTTTTTTATTGTCATTTTTATAGAATTACCTGAAATACTGATGGCGCCACAAAATCAAACAATTAAAGTTGGTAAAAGCTTTGTATTGGAATGTGATGCGGATGGTAATCCGATACCAACCATAACGTGGCAATTTAATGGTGAAGCAATTGTGGCCAACGAGCATCTGGTGTTGGAAAATGAAAATACGGAATTGATAGTAAATAAAGCTCAGGAATCTGATACAGGTAAAAAATAAAATGAAATGAAATATAACACAATCTCATCAGGCAAATAGCCTTAACCAACCAACCAACCAAAATAACCTAGTCAGTTAGTCGGACAGGTGGGTTGTTGCCTGGCTAGCAGCTATAACTCATTCACCCGTTGTTATACAGAATATTTAATAAGTAAACCAACGGCAGAAATACATATAAAATCGAAATTGAATGAGAATATTAAATGAATAAATATTGTCCGTGAAAAAACATCAGAGCAAAAATACAAACTAAAATTTCTTTTCATTAAAAATTTCCTCTCAATCCTTTTTCACTGATTTCATCTTGTTTAATTCTACTACTATAGGCATCTACACCTGCATTGCAGAAAATGAAAATGGTCATGCGACAGCCGCTGCCACGATAACTGTGGAAAAAACACATAGTGCACCACATTTGGTTATAGAACCTTACGATCTGGAAGCTTTCACTGGCACATCCATTGAGTTGCCCTGTAAAGCAGACGAAAGCGAGGGCATACAGGTTAGTGGAGTGATGGACATGTTTTTAATGTGTGCCTGTCTGTGTGTATGTGTACAATAAAAAGGGCAAAAATAATCATGTTTTAATTTGTGTTGTCTTCTTCTTTGTTTAATTTAATAAGTGAAATGAAATTAAAACTGAAACTGTTTTTTTATATTTTGTGACTTAATTTTTTTTCAGATAACTTGGCGCAAGGATGGTCGTATTATTGACCCTAAAGTTTTACAGACAGATAAATATGAAGTTATCGGTACAGGCAGTTTGTTTATTAAAAATGTCACAATTTTGGATAATGGCCGTTATGAATGTTCGATTAAAAATGAATTTGGTCGGGCTACCGCTTCGGCTTTAGTAACAATAAGGTAAGTAGAATAAACGTTATTAATCAAAGTCTTTTAATATCCCAACACCCAAGGTTAATTTGTACAACTCAGCATTTAAATATAGGTTGCAGTCTGGACCACAGATTTATCTAAAGTATGGAGTATATATTTGCATATCGTCTGGACTATATTTTTGTTTATAGTCAGGACTATAGATTTATCTATAGTTTGAACTATAAACTTGTCTGGAATATAGATTTATCTCTAGTCGGGATTATAGATTTGATTATAGTCTGGACTATAGATTTGGTTATATTCTGGACTATAGATTGTCTATAGTTTGGACTATAGATTGTCTATAGTCTGGACTATAGATTGTCTATAGTCCGGACTATAGATTGTGTATAGTCTGGACTATAGATTGTCTATAGTCTGGACTATAGATTGTCTATAGTCTGGACTATAGATTGTCTATAGTCTGGACTATAGATTGTCTATAGTCTGGACTATGGATTGTCTATAGTATGAACTATAGATTGTCTATAGTGTGGACTATAGATTGTCTATAGTGTGGACTATAGATTGTCTATAGTCTGGACTATAGATTGTCTATAGTCTGGACTATAAATTGTTTATAGTCTGGACTATAGATTGTCTATAGTCTGGACTATAGATTGTCTATAGTCTGGACTATAGATTGTCTATAGTCTGGACTATAGATTGTCTATAGTCTGGACTATAGAATGTCTATAGTCTGGACAATAGATTATCTATAGTTTGGACTATATATTGTCTATAGTCTGGACTATAGATTGTCTATATTCTGGACTATAGATTGTTTATAGTTTGGACTATAGATTGTCTATAGTCTGGACTATAGATTGTCTACAATATGAACTATAGATTGTCTATAGTATGAACTATAGATTGTCTATAGTCTGGACTATAGATTTTCTATAGTCTGGACTATAGAATGTCTATAGTCTGGACTATAGATTGTCTATAGTTTGGACTATAGATTGTCTATAGTCTGGACTATAGATTGTCTATAGTCTGGACTATAGATTGTCTATAGTCTGGACTATAGATTGTCTATAGTTTGGACTATAGATTGTCTATAGTATGAACTATATATTGTCTATAGTAGGAACTATAGATTGTCTATAGTCTGGGCTGTAGATTGTCTATAGTTTGGACTATAGATTGTCTATAGTCTGGACTATAGATTGTCAATAGTCTGTAGTATATATTGTCAATAGTCTGGACTATAGATTGTCTATAGTCTGGACAATAGATGGTCTATAGTCTGGACTATAGATTGTATATTGTTTGGACTATAGATTGTCTATAGATTTGTCTATAGTCTGGACTATAGACTTATCTTTAGTCTGGACTATAGATTGATCTTAATCAGGACTAGATTTATCTATATCTATAGTCTAGATTATAGATTGATCTATAGTTTGGGGTATACATTGATCAATAGTATGGACTATTGATCCATAAATTGGATTATTCTTTGCTCTATTATCTGGTTTTTAGTCTCAGTTAATGATAGGTTCATTGTCTGAAATATATTTTTTAATATAATATAATTTTTACTTTAACTTTTACTGTTTTTATATTTTTCATTTTGAACTGTTCTAATTTTCTTTCCACCTTTATTATTTTTTAACTCAAGTACATTTTGAAAAATCTAAACCTCATTTCCTTCCCCTACTTATATTTACTAATGGTTGTTATTTTTTGCAGTAATTATAGTGCACTTGTGAAATGTACATAAAATTGTTCTATCCCGTCTGCATAGATGTCACGTGTAGACACGTGTCTGTTAGAAAAAAACACTGTTTTCTATCCTCCACTACACACACACACACACACAAGTACAAATATACTGTGTATTTAAATTTTATATAGAGCTGTTTATTTTCATTTAACCTTCAACCACTTTCATTAGTTCTCATTAATTTTCTTACCAACATTTTTCGTTTTATTATTTTTTTTTTTTTTTGTTAAATTGAAAACAAATATTAATTGCGCATTTTAAAGTACGGATAGTGAAGAACATCCAATTAAAACTGGAAAAGAACATGAGGAAAGTACATACCTGCAACGAGAAGGAGAGAAAAACAGATTTAAGTTAATAAAACTTTATAAACATTAAGTTCAATATGGAAAAAAATAGTTTTCTAAAACAAAAACTAAATGACAAGCCACAAATTTATCTTAATATCTTTTAAGAACGAGTGAAACCATAATTCTTACATAAACTTTCTTAATTAATTGTGTAAATAGTTTTGTTTTAAACTATAACAGTTTGCATATTAAAAGTAATTTAAATACTTTTTGCACACCATAACCAACTAAAACAAAAACTAACTAATATTTTCTTGCGTACATCCTTCATCATGCTTTCGCTTTTTTTGGGAGGGCAATTGCTTAAAGGGCTAAAAAAGCATCATAGCCAACTTAACAACTACAAAAAAGTGATAACTAACTTGTTTCTTGTGCCCAACTCACAACGATGACATTTAAATAAAACAAAAACAGCATAAGTAACCGAACATTACAAAAACTAAAAACCACTAAACTAAGGATAACTGCAGATTTTCCCATTTGCAAAAAAAAAAAAATGCAAACTAAAGAAATTTTTTCCTCACATCTCCCTTCTCCTTTCGTTTTTTTGTGCATTTTGTGTGCATTAACAAAAGAAACATGAGCACAGTCGTGTAGAACAGGAAAAAAATTAAATTTTCCGTTTGAACAACAACAGAGAAATTATAACAAAAAAAAATGCATGATTATGCGGTAAAAGCCCCTATAAAAATGTAAGTGTCGGTTTTGCGCACATGAGATTTAACGCATAGACTGGAATGTTAAATAGAAACAAAAAATACCAAAAGGATTTTAATTTTGAATGAGTTTGAGAAAGAATCATTTTGTAACTGCTAATTTTGTTGTACTGGTCGATTATACAAATATGTAAAAGAATAAAGAATGTTATTGAGAGAATTGTAAAGTATTTGAAAGTGATGGTTATAATTTTTAAAATATGTATAAGTTTATTTAAGAAAACATTTTCACATTTATTTCTCTAGTCTAGAGCACAAAAACCTCTATGTCAGAGAATACTGAGGCGTATACTTATTTCTTTTGTATTAAATGTTGATCATACGCACTAAATTTAAGAAAGAGTAATTCTGCAATTTATAACTTTGTCGTTCTGGTCGATAAGAATAATGTGTGTTTTTGAAAGAATTGTGGAATATTTGACAGTGATGGTTATATTTTAAGGGAATACGGTGACGTAAACGTATTTCATTTGAATTAAATGTTGATCAAACGCAGCAGATGTAATTGTTCAATTCGTTGTATGTCATAAACAATTTTGAAATAAAGTTTTTGAAACAAAAAAAAAATACAACATACTATGATACAACCGTACAACAGCGATTGTGAATTGGACAAATGAAAAATTCGATGTTTTGAGAAACTGAAAGATATTGCATTAGTTAGTTAGTTAGTAGTTAGTTAGTAGTTAGTAGTTAGTTAGTTAGGTTAGTTAGTTAGTAGTTAGTTAGTTAGTTAGTTAGTTAGTTAGTTAGTTAGTTAGTTAGTTAGTTATGTTAGTTCGTTAGTTAGTTAGTTAGTTAGTTAGTAGTTAGTTAGTTAGTTAGTTAGTTATTTAGTTAGTTAGTAGTATTAGTTAGTTAGTTAGTAGTTAGTTAGTTAGTTAGTTAGTTAGTTAGTTCGTCGTTAGTTTTAGTTAGTTAGTTAGTTAGTAGTTAGTTAGTTAGTTAGTTAGTTAGTTAGTTAGTAGTTAGTTAGTAGTTAGTAGTTAGTTAGTTAGTTAGTTAGTTAGTTAGTTAGTTAGTTAGTTAGTTAGTTAGTTAGTTAGTTAGTTAGTTAGTTAGTTAGTTAGTTAGTTAGTTAGTTAGTTAGTTAGTAGTTAGTTAGTTAGTAGTTAGTTAGTTAGTAGTTAGTAGTTAGTTAGTTAGTTAGTAGTTAGTTAGTTAGTGTTAGTTAGTTAGTTAGTTAGTTAGTAGTTAGTTAGTTAGTTAGTTAGTTAGTTAGTTAGTTAGTTAGTAGTAGTTAGTTAGTTAGTTAGTAGTATAGTTAGTTAGTTAGTTAGTTTAGTTAGTTAGTTAGTTAGTTAGTTAGTTAGTTAGTTAGTAGTTAGTTTAGTAGTTAGTTAGTTAGTTAGTTAGTTAGTTAGTTAGTTAGTTAGTTATTAGTTAGTTAGTTAGTTAGTTAGTTAGTTAGTAGTTAGTTAGTTAGTTAGTAGTTAGTTAGTTAGTTAGTTAGTTAGTTAGTTAGTTAGTTAGTTAGTTAGTAGTTAGTTAGTTAGTTAGTTAGTTAGTTAGTTAGTTAGTTAGTTAGTTAGTTAGTTAGTTAGTTAGTTAGTTAGTTAGTTAGTTAGTTAGTTAGTTAGTTAGTAGTAGTTAGTTAGTAGTTAGTTAGTTAGTAGTTAGTTAGTTAGTTAGTTAGTTAGTTAGTTAGTAGTTAGTTAGTTAGTTAGTAGTTAGTTAGTTAGTAGTTAGTTAGTTAGTTAGTTAGTTAGTTAGTTAGTTAGTTAGTTAGTTAGTTAGTTAGTTAGTTAGTTAGTAGTTAGTAGTTAGTTAGTTAGTAGTTAGTTAGTTAGTTAGTTAGTAGTTAGTTAGTTAGTTAGTTAGTTAGTTAGTTAGTTAGTTAGTAGTAGTTAGTTAGTTAGTTAGTTAGTTAGTTAGTTAGTAGTTAGTTAGTTAGTTAGTTAGTTAGTTAGTTAGTTAGTTAGTTAGTTAGTTAGTTAGTTAGTAGTTAGTTAGTTAGTTAGTTAGTAGTAGTTAGTTAGTTAGTTAGTTAGTTAGTTAGTTAGTTAGTTAGTTAGTTAGTTAGTTAGTTAGTTAGTTAGTTAGTTAGTAGTTAGTTAGTTAGTTAGTTAGTTAGTTAGTTAGTTAGTTAGTTAGTTAGTTAGTTAGTTAGTTAGTTAGTTAGTTAGTAGTTAGTTAGTTAGTTAGTTAGTTAGTTAGTAGTAGTTAGTTAGTTAGTTAGTTAGTTAG